GCTTTTTAAGAAAGGCGGGGGGGGAGGCAGCCAAAAAAGGGGGGGGGGGCAACCCCCCCCACTCTATCCATTCAAGTAAGTGTCAGACTCAGTAACTAACTACAGATGTTGAATGCTAATCAAGCTAATTTGCTGGGAAAACTGCAGTTGAAGGGTAAAACTGATCATTTATCATTCTCACACATAGGAAATTAATTATGGCGCGCCTAAGGAAATTAATATGCGAGGCAAGTGCGGAACTGTTCTGTGATTATTAATATGCGCCACATCTGTACATGCAAATGAGTAACATTTAGACAGTATTTACTAGGGATGGCTCAATAAACCGATACTGAAACTTGGAGTATCTGCCAATACCCTTATCAATCTGATACTTTGAAACGATATCACAGGCTAGCATTACTGAGGCGATAGTGTCCCTGTTTCTGACATGTCGCGCACAGTCAGGTTGAGTATTTGTCTTAAGTATCGGATCGGCTAGGCTAAAGTTGTTTTTCCCCGATATCCGATCCTTAAATTTTCCAACCAATAGTATCGGATTGAGCCATCCCTAGTCTTTACAAATTATCGGGTAACAACGAGTCTGTCAATGATCTGTACCTGGGCTACAAGTAGTCCTACAAGTGTCATTGACAGTCTCGTCGTTACTGAGGTTCAATAAGAGCGCGCACACGCACGCACAGTGGAAAACACAGAAAAAAATATATAGTTAAATATGTTCAACGGAAAATTCCCAATAGTCAACGTTGCGCGTCCTCAATTGTTGTGAAAAGCCTGTTTCATTGGCTGTCGATGAGTGTCTTAAATTATGTACCAATAACCCTCCACGTACATGAAAATAAATATTGCTCAGGGCAGTGCAAAAAGTCCAGTTCTCTGCTCTAAAGCGCGATAGGCGGGTCTCTTGGTTTGTTTTTTGTTTTGTTTGTTCGTCCCTGGTGAGGCTTCAACCACTGAAGCACACTCGTCCGACTTCAAATCCAAATTTTTGGTTGCTGCTGCCAAAGTCTGCCGGAGCTACGTCTATAATGGGCAGCCGCTCCGCCAGAGGGGAGTTGATGTGAAGGGTTGTTCTCTCCTGACCACTGCGAATCTGAAAGTGGGGGGAGAAAAAAAAAAAAATCAAAGGCCAATTAAACCTGCTGAAATTAGCAGTCCGTCTCTACGGTCTAGAGATTATGTCAATAAAAATCCAGTTCGACATTTGCTGTTAACCCCCCCCCGGTTACAGAAATATTTTCATGCCCCCCCCCCCCATGCCTCCCCGACCTACACCCCGCGAATTGAAATACTATTGAGTTTGTATCTGTGCAAACCACTATCAGTTGTACCCCCCGACCCCAACTATTGGAGTAGTACTGGTTTAAACCAATTGTCTATGTGTTTCCTCTGTCCCTGTCTCTGCACCAGCGACTGTCCCGTGAACCAACACTGACCTGACATCCATCGTGGACAGCGGTGATGAAGGGGCTTTTGGCGTGTGTCAGCTCCTCGTCATTGCCGCCACGGAAGCGGAGGGCACGCTCGTGGGAGCGGGAGTTGCTGTCAAACCAGCCCACAGAGTTGTGGCATGTGTAGGTGAAGGTCTGCTGGGCCGTGGCACTCAGTAGTTTGAGGAAGGTGAGCTGAACCACATGCACAGGGTTTCCATCCCTGTCCACGTAGGAGAACTGGAAAATAATAATACACAGGTGTCAGTGTGAGGACGTGGCTAGGAGACAAAGATAGCATTTACTGGATTTTCCGTACTATAAGTCAAATGTTTTTGGGTTACTCTGGTGCGATGTATATATTAAAATATATAATTTCACATGTTTGTTATTTTCACACTGATAGCCTCTAGGGGGCACTCTAGGCGTGTGTACCAGTATCTGCTACTTCTGTACCACTGAAAATTAACATGTCGGTATTTTCATTGTTGAATCATTGTTCAGCATGATACACATTCATTTCTAATTAAAAAAACAAATACCGTAATTTCCGGACTATTGAGCGCACTTGAATATAAGCCGCACCCACTAAATTAAAAAAGGTAATTGTACACATATAGGCCGCACTTCTATTAAAACTGAAGATGTCCACGTTGTAACATGGGATATTAACACAGAAATATGTTACACAAAAAGATTTTTTTTTTTCACGTTAAATTAAATAAATGCTTTTTTTTCCCCAAACAATGCCTGTAACACGGCTGGTTACACGTTAGCGGTATGAACTTCGTTAGCCCTTAAAAATCCATAAATTAGTCGCATCATTGTTTAAGACGTTCAAAGCGTGTGAAAAAGGTAGTGACTTATAGTCCGGAAATTACGGTACCTATATATTTTTTTTATCGGATAGCCTTACCAGTCCCTCCTGGACCTCAGCCCTGTCCACAGAGGCACTGTGAAGCCCAGCAGTTTAATACATGTGGGGTAAATGGAACAGCTACACAGTCCACTGCTGGTGGACAGCCTTCTTCTATCATATATATACATATTCAATGCACCTGTTCAACCATACAATATTACACTTAAACATTTCTAACACAGGAATATGCAAAATTCTGCTACAGCCTTCCAAGAGGTGTGAGATGGTTCACTTAAAAGTAATTTGCTGGGACTTCTAATCAGCTAAAAAAAAAAAAAAAACAGAAGACTTTTTTTTTTTACCTGTCTGCCTTTCCTGTACGAGCTGTACCAGCTTCTTGGTTTCTCTTTGTTCCATGTAGCTAATTTCACCTACAGACACAGAGAAAAGAGGAGAAGGAAAAAAATAGACAAATGATCATTTTTTTTGTGTGTGTGTTCTAGGATGTTACATTCATATTGAATCTCTACAGGCTGGGGCCGGGCTTACTGTCTCAATCCTCTTGTCCGGGTAAAGACACGTCTCTCCATCAGCAGTGAAGTTGCAGAAGACCTTGATGGAATCCCTGTTACAGCCCTGGTTGGGATCTATCCAGTAGTCTCCTACGGAAAGAAGAGGAAAAAAAAAAAGGAACAACGTGTTAAAATGTTAGACAAAGAAGATTTTGGAAATCAGATTCTAAATATTTGAAGTATTACCAATGTGAGACTTGCAGGTCTCCAACCTTTTAATAAACTGAGAGTTACTTCAACAGCTACTTGTTTGATATTTCCGAACAATGTCGAGTTCCGGGACGTACAATAGTAGACACTCTTCTTACCATCGTCTTACCCTCTTGTTGACTAGTTTACTTTTTTAGAACATACCCCGCAGGAACTTCAATTACTCCAGGGGGCTACCAGGCGTCACATTGGTGACCCCTAGTGTAAAGTGTGTGTACATTTTTTGTAATAAAGTCAAAAAAAGCAAAAGAACCCACTGTTTATGTTTTTGTATGTTAAGTTTGAAAGACTATTTGGGCTGCAGGCCTTAGATTAAGACCACTTCTGGCCCATGGATTTAGGTTAGTTCTGTTTCTGATCTGCTGCAGTAAGTTTCATTGAAGACCTCTAGCTTGTCTATGATACAAAACTAGTTTTTTTGGGCCACCTCCTGGTCTAACTTTTAACCGACACCTAACTGTAATAATAAAAATCCATGACTTTCTGCACAAAGTGTACAAACATGTATGTTTACTCTATAGTGTCTCCCAGGTCCTTACATGTTGGATGCGACTTCTCAATAACGTGATGGTAAAGCAGGTGTACACTTACCGTCTTTGTAGTTGGGCTGAACCATCATGAGCTCCTTGCAGGTGCGCGCAGGACTCTCATAGGTCCCTAACGGTCTCCTTATTAGTTCCACTTCATTTTTCATGGAGGAGAGTGATGCAAAGACTTCTTCCATCCCTTCTGGATCCTCCAGCGGCTGATCCCCTTGGAGAAAGTCCTCCATGTCTGGAACTCGGTCGTCCTCTCTACTGGATGGAGCTGCTCCTCCCGCTGCTGCCCGATCGGAGTGTCTTCGCTTTTTCTTTCTGCCATCCCTGATGGGCAGGGGCTCGATCATTGTTGCAGGTGGTCCCTGTGTATTTACGAAGGAGAGCTTTAGGGTATAAAGATTCCAATAAAGGGGGGGTGTGATGTAAATCAATTAAAGCACTTACTGGTGGGCCTGGGGGTCCGGCACGGCCTGGATCTCCTCTGGGACCAGTGGAACCCTGGGGATTAACAGAGAAGCACAGTTTACGTCATTCGTTTCCTCCAAGTTTCTCATTGGCTAAAACTGAGTTTCTGTGTCAGTCACTTCAGCTGCTCTCTAGGATTATCCAGCTTTCTGCATCAGCACTCTGGCCAAAGCTTAGCCCTCAAGACACAACAATAACATACAAACAAACACACAAAATCCCGTTAAGAGGAACCAGTGAGAGGTTGAACACTCAAGTTGAGGTCCCGAAACGTCGGACTCTCAGTTCTGAAGATGCGGCGTAAAAACACAGTGCAGCGTTTTGACTACGAAGCAGAGTGCATTTACGCTGTTTTCCTTTTATCGCAGCATATGGCCGCACCAGCTGCCAACCAGGCATAGGTGACGTTGCAGGAATGGAAACTTGTAAATAAGACAGATTACAGAACTCACCGGGTCTCCTCTTGATCCTTTATCTCCAGCTGGACCCTAAAAGTGGCGAGAAAAAGTTTGAAAAAGTGATCACGAAAAACAAAAACAAACAAACAAGGACAAACATTTTCACTCACAGTCATGGTATCCAGCTTAGTCAAATGTCACCTCAATGGCCAAAAGAAAATTCAATATGACATTAAATGATAAAAAAAAAAAACTTTAATCATAATGCTATGCTCCAGTGATTTTTGTATTCACAACTATTTAATGTTACTCGAAGCAAATTTCAAGTTAAATATTTTAAAATCCAGTCGGGCTTTGATGTTAGGACAATCAATTCTTTTGGCTATGTGAGTGCCTATCCAACACTTTTTTTGGCTTATGACGTCATTTTGACATCACAAATTCCTTGCGACTCCCGAGAAATTTCCTTCCAGAATTTTTAGGTAATTTAGGTAACTTGAAACTAGAACATCATCATTTCATTACATTACATTTTTGTTTTTGTGAAACGGTCGACAAAAGTCCGTATCTCTACATAATGAAAGGTTGTGATCAAGCCGGATATTGGGTGTTACTATTTCCTGACACTCATGAAAGGTTATTACTTACTGATAGTCCAGGCGGTCCTGGTGGACCTGTGGGACCAGCGGGACCTAGCAAACCCTACATTTCAAAAACAAGATCATGTTATGATGAGAAACATTCTTCGCGGAATTAAAATGATTTTATATGAATGATATTGTCTGCATGTACGTACCCCCTCTCCTTTAGGTCCATGTTTGCCTTCCATCCCTGGCAGGCCGCGGTCTCCCTTCTCGCCAAAATCTCCAGGAGGACCAATCAAACCAATCAACCCACCATGACCCTACAGAGAGATGAAGGTCATCAGCGATGGCTCTCAGTTTTAAAACGGTTCAGATAATTGGCTCGGCTACTGTTCGCTAAGCTATTAGCTTAGCAGAGGGGTGGGCAAACTTTTTGACTCGCGGTAAGGGCCACGATTGTCCTAAAAATGGGAGCAGATGGAGCGTTCATGTATCTAAGATAAATGACATGTAAAAGTCAGGCATTTGGGCTAACATGCGTTTATCCTTTTCGACGCCACCTATTGGTGAAATGTGGGTATTGCAGGGTGTTTATCCTTTTCTACGCCACCTATTTGTGAAATGTGGGTATTGCAGGGAAATAGCAGAAGTATAATGATAATATAAGTAAATGACATAATTTGAAAAAGTTTGCTGTGCCGGATTAAAAAGCTGAACGGGCCGCATCTGGCCCCCGGGCCTTAGTTTACCCATACCTGGCTTAGTACATACCTTTTCTCCTTTCACCCCTGGATCTCCCTTCAGTCCTGGAAGTCCTGGAGGTCCCTGATAAGATTAAAAGTATGACATGGTTGTTTCACTGCTGTCAATTATCTTTTTTTTATATGAAACCTGAACACTGAACTCCTACTAGTAAAATTCAAGGATCTTACAATTGGTCCTGGAGGTCCAGTTTGTCCTGGTGGTCCATTTAAACCATGTTCCCCCTAAAAACAAAAAAGAGAAGAGAAATGAAATGTTTTGAATTTACGACAGTTCTGTGCGGGTAAAGATTTTCTGTGTTTACTGACCCCGGGACCTGGGATGCCTCTTAACCCATCTGGACCTGGTCTTCCTGGATGTCCTTGCGGTCCCACTGGGCCAACTTTACCTGGAAGACCCTGGCCTCCTATTGTTCCCTACAAAAAAAAAAAAAAAAGAGAGGACACATGTAGGTAAATACTGAAGTACAAAGTATTGGACTAAACTGCTGGTTCCAGGTCCTTGTCCTTGCCTTGGATCCCTTGTTGCCTTGCTTTCCTTCATTTCCCGCGGCACCAACATGACCCTGACATTAAAACGAGATTATGTGATTTCACAAAGCACACGTACCACAAATTACACAGGCACACACGTCAACCAATTTTACCCTTCGTCCAGGGGGTCCTGGAGGACCTGGTTCTCCAGAGGCTCCCGGGGATCCCTGAAAAAAGTTAGCATAACTACTTTTAGTTCAAATAATTATGATATTTTCTAAAATGACAGGATGCAACTTCTGTATAGAGCCATTGAATTGGTAAAAAAAGAAAAGAAAAGGGTTTTCTTACTGGATTGTAATCTGCGCATATTTTAATAAATCTCACTGTTACGTAAAATCCAATGGTCAATTTGGAAGCTAATGCTACGTCTGGCTTAAATCAGTTCACCAGGTAGGCATGTACCGTTAGCATTTTGCTTATCAGAGGTCCAGCTTGAAGGACCTCGTTCACGTAGTAATGGTTGCTGGGATGTATAATTGGACAATGACTGTTTGGAAGCGGGGTTTTACAAACGGCCAATTCTCTTCTTTTCCTGTTCCCGAGAGCGCTGCTGCAGCAGTAAGCAATAGAGTTTTACAAAATGAAATCCGGTGAGCACCAGTAATTTACAATAACAAAAGGGTTTTTTTTTTTAACTGAATAAACATGCCATAAATTATCAGAGTTAACGCAACAACAGCATGTTAAGTTGTCCAGCCCTATTTAGTTGTTACAGATGCTCGGAACCCAAAAGCAAAAGAAAGAATGAAATACATAGAATCTAAATTAGGCATGGGCTAACTTTTTGGCTCGGGGGCCGCAACTGTCCTAAAATTGAACGGGGGGGGCCGGGTCAGGAGTAGATAGATGGAGCGTTGGTGTGAACTAAGATAAAATGCTGAAATGCTTTTATAATTTTCTACGCCATCTATTGGGGAAACGTGGGTATTGCAGGGAAAAGGCAGAAGTATAATGATAATATAAATAAATTATATAACTTGGAAAAGTATGGCAGGCCGGATTAAAAAGCTGAACGGGCCCTATCTGGCCCCCGGGCCTTAGTTTGCCCATGCCTGATCTAAATGGATCTCTACTTACTGCTTTGCCAAGCTCTCCAGTGTCCCCTTTACGTCCGGCAACTCCATCCACGCCCTGAATGACGAGAAGTTAGGAATAAATACAAATAAATAATTAAATGAAATATAAACGGAGACGACGCTTACATTAATGCCGGGCTCTCCAGGGGGTCCTGGATCTCCGGGAAATCCAATAGGCCCCTGTGGGCAAAAAGAAATGTTTAAAATACATTTTAAAAATGACATACAGTACGCCTCAAAAAAAAAAAAAATGAAAATGACATACAGTAAGCCTCAAAAAAAAAAAAGGAGATGAAACTCACAAGGTTGCCTTTAGATCCGTCATCTCCTGGTAGTCCTCTAGGTCCCGGGGGCCCACCTGCACCTGAAGGGCCAGCGTCTCCCTTCTCGCCCACGTCACCTTTAACACCCTTTGCAGACAGAATGAAAGTTTGCCATGATTAAGGAAGTCAAGGAAAGAAACTAAAGGTGGTTTAAGGTTCTGAGACTCACAGGAGCGCCGGGTTCTCCCGCCGGTCCAGGGTCTCCTGCCTCACCGTCCTCACCCTAAGGAAAAAAAAAGATTAGCAGAAAGACTGTTTGAAAGTTGTTTGAAATAGAAATACATTTTTAACGGGGGCAAGAGAGTACCTATGAAATATTCAGGCAGATTTTTTCAAAGGATTAAATAATATTCAGCTAAACTTTGTTGTACTTGTACTGACAGCGTGGACAAAATACTTAGCTTTGGACCAATTAGTCTGAAGTTATTTGCTTCATATTTGCCTAATTTTTAAGATACGTCAAACTTTTAATTGTCTTTAGACTAATGGCCATTTCGTAACTAAAATTGCTTTTATGTTTGCTGTTTGATCTAGGTCTTTTGTACTGTAGCTATTTATGCCAAATAAGAAAGATATGATTTTAATGAATTCTAACCTTCAAAATGTCTTAATCATTTTCAGGCTGTTCAGGAACTTTTGGCATTCGTTTTAAACATTTCACTGCAAAGTTTTTTTTTTTTTAATTAACTTGGACTACCTTAAAAAAAAAAATAGAAATATCTCTTCGTAACTTTCAAAGCCATTGGTGGTCTCAGTTCTATTTGCCTTTTGATTTATTTATAGTTATTTAAACAGTCTCTACCCATCCATCTGACTGCCCTGTGCTCAGTGAAGCTCATCTGACACGAGCCGGGCGTCTGACCTGCAGTTGTAGCCTCCACAGACACGCGCTCAGTGTTGATGATATTTCCAGCTCTCGGTGCTTCGTGAAATAAAAACCTTTCTTTTGACAGCCTGAATTTCCATAGTTCATAATTTAGGTTATTCTGTCATTTTAAATTGATATTTTTTATCTACTCAGTCTACATTGTATTTAACTTTAAATCATCATTTGGTAAATATAGCAACTTTGGTCTCTGATAAATTTAAACTATACTTACATAGTCCTTTACAAACCCTCACTGATACCCACTAATGCCACACACACTACAATTTGTGTTCCCAAAGACAGACACACAAACACACAAAGAGTAGCAGTTAATGTTAATTCTGACCTTCTCTCCGCCAATTCCAGGCTGACCGACTCCACCAGGTATGCCAGCTGTTCCCTGGAGCAAAAAAGAAATAATAATAAAAGAGTTCCTGTTAGGTCAATGTAAAACAGAGGCGAGGTTCAACTCTTCATTTAATTACAAGTCCAGACCTTCAGGCAATATTTCCTGATTTATTTTATTTATTTGAGTGGTTTGGTTTGGCAGTGCACACAAGTTTTTCATTATGAGCCTAAATCAGGCATGGGCAAACTAAGGCCCGGGGGCTGGATGTGGCCCGTTCAGCATTTTAATTGGGCCCACCTAACTTTTAAAAATTATATCATTTATGTATATTATCATTATACTTCTGCCTTTTCCATGCAATAGCCACGTTTGCACAATAGATGGCGTAGAAAATGATAAAGGCATTTTTAGCCTTTACGCATGTCTTTTACATGTCATTTCACTTGAACGCTCCATCTATCTACTCCTGACCTGGACCCCCCCCCCTGTTCAATTTTAGGACAGTTGTGGCCTGCGAGTCCAACGCCTGGTCTAAACCTTATAAATGCTCAAAGATATTACGATAAGTTCAGGATATTTTATCAAATTCAGTTGAAACACATTGAAAGTGTCAATTTTTTTTTTTCTATACAAAATCAATTAAACATATGTAATGTTGCATTTGGCAAATAAGGAACCGTCGGTTAAACCCTGTTTCCCAAAGGAAATGAATTACCCAAGTGCCATCATCATCCCACTGTGGTGTGTACTTGACCAGGGTCATAAATCCATATGGGGTGGTGATACCGCCTTTAAATCTTGGAGCTTTAAATGCTGTTGAGGATCTGAGTCTCAACACAGATGCATTAATGTTTACGAGTTCTTTCTGCAGCCACAGACATCTTCACCATGTATCTTAGATCATTTTATTATTATTTACAGCAGGTCCATAATTTACCGTGTCCTCGACCTATGGTGTTTCGTGTTTACATCCATTATAGAATTATTGAGTCTTGCTCCATCATTTCGATGTACGACCTTTTTGCCCTTCATTATGGCTCCGAAAGCGCGAGTCTGACTCTTGTGTTTTTATGTCCTAGATTACGATGTTACCACTGTGTTAGCATAGGGGAGTGATATAGGTATTTATGTACGGTATGTGAGTTCCGACTTACAGAGAAAATCGCATTACGTCAAGCCATAGGAACGGAATTCCGACATAAGTCGAGGACCCCCTGTATAAAGGTGTGGTCAGATAGTTTAGCGAAAGGATAGCATGTCTGCTACCAAGTATATTTAATATCGGTACAAACCACTGTATGAGTTGCTGCCACCTAGTGACTGGAGGCTTGTTGTCACTCAAGCATTACAGCAGTGGTATCCAGTGTGCCATATTCCCCCCCGGCACCTCCCCGTGCCCCTCCAGGGGGGCCCGCTCCACTATTTGAAAAGCATTGGTTTAATTCCATCTATTCTCCAAATCCCAGGTTGGTCAGAGAAGGGCAGTACGCCAAATCATCTTGGAGACTACCGCTGTGGGGATCCCTAATAAAGGGACAGGCTATAAATAATTAACCAAGGTCTTTTTGATGAGGTCAATTAACTCAGAAAGTTCCAAGCTGGGTCTTTCTTGTTTATGCACTTTTCTGCAGGCTCATTCCAGTTGGCGTGCTGACATTTGTACGCCGATATATATTGACAAACACGTAAAAGCACTTCTGGGCTAGTGTTCTCCCTTTTTCCCCTGTCCCATTTGTCCTTTCTCTGTCCATTAATAGAAACCACAATCTCTGTGAGATGAAGCACCGCTGTGGCTCACGCAGCTTTTCTGCAGAAGCGTTGAATAATTGACTGATGTGAGAAGCTGGTGATAGGCGGCCACAACCAGAGGTAAATATAACTGTATCTCAGGGATGATAGTCTTATGCGTCTGAATGATTCATAGGGCAGTAAATATAACTCCCTATCTCTGAGGGATTTTTATCCTAATACTGATTAATAATTCAACTTTCAAACACAGCCACAGGAAGAACTGTGGCGGGAGATGTTCCAACAAAAGGGACTGACGCAGAAGAGAAGCGAGTCTGTGGCGTCAACATACTGTACGCACCGCACAATGTACCTCCGACTGAACTTCAGAATATATTTAGTAGCAAGCTTATAGTAGACATCCTAGGTATGCAATGCACGTATAAAAAGTTTGAAAATGAATGAGAAGAATAATTTGACATCATGTCCAAATCTGAAAGATATTTTATAAAAGTTATCTAGGGATGTCTGATAGTGAACAGATCGATAGATAGATCTTTAATAATCCTTAAGGAGTTCCCTGCGGGAAATATTGCCAATCAATATTATCAGCCAATATTAGCATAATTATGTTATCGTTTTTTTTTTCTCCCCCGATAACGAAAAATCTATAAAGCAATGGCTGGGTTTTTCCAAATGATGTGACGTAAAAATTGTTTTGGGGATCAGATCACTGATCACTAAGATGTTTTTTTTTTTCTGTCTTTTTGGATTTGTGCTTAGCCCCGTAAGCGACAACAACTAAAAATAGTTTTGAAGTTAGTGAATTTTTTGTTATTCTGACAGAGCTCGCAACTGCACATGAAAAGTGTCCTAACCCAAATGGTTCCATATAACAGTATTGGTTGATATCAATTTAGACCAGGCGTGGCCAAACATTTTGAATCGCGGGCCACAACTGTCCTAAAATTGAACAGGGGGCCGGGTCAGGCGCAGATAGATGAACGTTCGTGTGAACTAAGATAAACGACATGTAGAAGTCATGCATAAAGGCTAAAATGCTTTTATCATTTTCTACGCCATCTATTGGTGAAACGTGGGTACTGCAGGGAAAAGGCAGAAGTAAAATGATAATATAAATAAATTATATAATTTGGAAAAGCTTGGCGGCCGGATTAAAAAGCTTAACGGGCCTCACCCAGCCCCCGGGCCTTAGTTTGCCCATGCCTGATTTAGACAATCATAATAGTGTGGAATAGTTCTTCACATTTCTATGTTTTGATTTTCCTCTTGGATTTCCTCCTGCCCTTAAAATATTAACATTTTAACATCTGTACCATATAAAGACAAACAACTCATGGAACTTACCTCTGCACCAATAGGCCCTTGAGGTCCTCGGGGTCCGTGCTGTCCCGGGGGTCCCTGTTGACAAAGAAATGACATTTGAATGAGCATTTCTATAAATAATCTTTTTAAAAAACAGCAAAGACGTACTTGATCCTTTAACTCAGTGTGCCCCATTTTCACATCACAAATCTGTGGCAACCCCCGGAGACACTGTTTTCTTCTACATTAACTTTGTGATCATGTTTGTCGCATTGTGTTGCAGATACAGAGTAGTCAATGTAGTGCCAGCTGTCAATCAAAATGCGCCAGATCCGATATTTTGAGCTCTCTGAGTACCACCATGATGACCAACATTAGAATACAGCAGCATAGGCCTTTCCTGTTAGCTTCTACCACACAGGAGAGATGTTTATAAATATTTATTAAGATGTTTATGTTTAAATGTTGTATTAATTGTGCATGGTATGTTTCAGATTTATTCAATTGAAAATGTAAGGTTGAAAATATGAATTTTCCCTCACGTACCACTGGTGGTACGCGTACCACAGTTTGAGAACCACTGTTCTAGATCATTTCAATTCAATAGTGACTTGTTCAGCCACAGGTCATGTGACTGTTAATGAAGACTCACTTCATTACTCACTCTGTAAGAGTGTACTCTCTCATCCACCCTGATGGGAGATGATATGACTCGTGTTCAGTTGAAGAGAGCGCTAATCAATTAATGCTAACACCAGAACAGATAAGATAATATTCGACTACCGGGGTGGGTTTCAATCATTTGGTCATACAGAGGAAGGAAAGGAACATTCTGCCATTCATGCACATGAATGACATGTCCCTAATGAGACCTCACCGTCCCTCCCCCCCCTCCTCCTCTGCCTCTCTTGTTCACTGTCTTTGTTTTGTTCCATTCTGATGCGCTGCCTCCCTAATCTGGCATCGGAAGAAAAGAAGCCACAGAGAATTTTGTCGAGCACATATTCATGGCTGACAGAGCGGCGAGATGACTGTCACAAAGGAGAATGCTCATTAGACAGCCGAGGCTGAGGCTAACCTCGTTAGCAGCGGTCACGTCAACTTCCTGCTTACAGACACTGTCCGGTCTCTTCTGCTCCACGACGTCTTTTATGTTGATTTTGTTTCTCTACTTCAAACTTCGTGTTTCAGCCTTGTCTATCTTGAATGAGACATAACATTTTATATATGTTTGTTTTGATATTTGGCATTTGAGGGAAGCTCCAACTGTTACTGCTTGTTGACTTCAATATGTAGCTACTGCTCTTGTTGTGCAAAAACTTTGAGTTTCACCCTTGTATTCCTCACGTTTTTCTCCATGCATTTGACCCGACAAGGCTTTACAAAGGGTTGGCTAAAATCAAAGGTTGTGCTGACAATCTTTCCATTTCCATGCATGTGGTTTCAACACAGGAAATACATAATGTTTTTACGCATGCTTAAACCAGAAATTAATTGAGCATAGTAAGAGTTTTCAGACTCGATTAAACAATATCTTAAAGCAGCGATTCCACGGTCATTAGGTGTGCCGTGGAAAACTACCACAATTTCCCTTAATTTATTTATTGCATATAAGTTTTCTTTGCTCGTCAAAGCATGAACGACGGAACAACTCTTCTGCTAGGTGGCAGCAGATGGCTATGAAAACTAAAAAAGAAAAGAAAGAATCAGAACTGTTGAAGAAGATCGTTGTTAGTGTCTTTCTTCAATTCCTGCCAATGTATCAGCGTTGTTTTCAACTAAACAGGCCCAAGATTTTAGTCAATTATTTTTACCAGGTTGTTTTAAACTACATGATTATTATATTTCATTACATATACTTTTTTTTTGATGTTGTGAGAGAATAAGACCTATTTTTATTTTCTTTTATAAAAATCCTAATGTTATATTCTTTGAGCCGTGATGGATGCACTCGAAGGCATAACGAACGCGCTGATTAACATTCTCCTACTTTTATCACATGCCACACAAAAATATGTCATCTTTAAACGTAGGACTTTTGTTGCTCATCCATGCTGCTGTACGTACGGTGGAAACACAGCTATGCCCTTGCTATTGTTACAGTGATTACAATTGAAATAAAAGGCTTTGTTACAGTAGAACCCCTGAACATGCAGCACTTATTTAAATTAGATTAACTAGCCGTGATGGCCTGAATGTAAGCCTACGTGATAATTTTTAAATAACATATTTAAGATGTACATGTAAATGTGCTCATCTTAATAATATAACAATTATATATATATATATATATATATACGAGACAAAGTAATTTTATTACCGTTCACAGGTACTGCTTGTGAAAGTAATTTGAGATATAATTTGTTGAATTCTACTATTTTATAATGACTTCACTATAGACCGTTTTTATTAGTGACCCACAGTAATAGGTACCAAAAAATGTAATCAAAGGCAGCTGACAGAGGATTGATCCAAAAAGATGTGACCGGTGGTATCAGATTGTGAAATTACCAGATTGTGGTCGAATAAAAACAGAGATATTTATCTTTCTGTGCGGTAGATCACTGGGAACATTACGAAGTCTTATTGTTCTCCAGCCTATGTTACATCATCCCCGTCTGTCTTGGCTCAAATATCTGCCATCAGGCACGATGTTGTTATGTCTCGTGGGCAGTTGGTATTCTCTGACATGTTCTACTCGTTGTGGAAAAATATTTTTCCGATCTCCACCAAATAGCGTAATCACATTTTTTTGTGCTATGTAGATAAGCTAAATAGCTAAGCTATATTGCTCTTGTTCTTAGCCAATAGTTTAGCATTGTTAGCAGTGGTACATGTGTAGATCACGCCGAAAATGTCTCACCATTGAGCCCACATGTCCACTCTCTCCTTTCTCCCCCGGGGGTCCTGGCATTCCCTGAAAACACAGATATGGCGAGTTAGCGCTGGTAATGACAGAAGGCAAATAATCTATTGTCTAAGTATGCTAATGTTAAGTTATCATCAAGCGGGGTGCTTTTGGCCCGCAGGCCGTATGTTTGACACCCCCGATCTACAGTTCACTGATGCCGATTTGTTTCGTTGAAGTGACTATGTAAATAATATTTGAAATAATTTCATGGTAATTTATGTTTAAATTTCAAATCAGAGATCACATGATCACACGAGTAGAACCATTTCTTCCTACCTGAAGCCCAGAAGGACCAGATGCCCCTTTGAAGCCACTCAGTCCTTCATCTCCTTTCGCCCCAATCATTCCCTGCTGCCCACGAGGGCCGGGCTCACCATCTGCACCCTAAAAAAAAAAAAACAAACATAGAAATGTGCTCATAAATAATGCACAAAACAAACCATCCTTACCATCTTATTATGGGTGTATTAACATACTGGTAGTCCATGCTGGCCCACGGGTCCTTGAAGTCCAATGGGTCCTGGTGGACCCTGGGAAGTACACAGTTGTACAGTAGGATGAGGAAAATGAACAAACAGAAGAGACCACAGTGTCAGGAAAAATTAATTTGCCCAAAAGTCACAAGGTCTGCGCTACGCTAACGCATGAGCATCATAAGTTTCTCGATTTTAAATTTTCTTTGGAAGGATCGTTTTGTGATCATTTGGTGACACAACGTGTACACTCACAGCTTCTCCTTTGTCTCCTTTGCTACCCTTCTGACCTGGTCCTCCGTTTTCCCCCTGCAGAGACAAATCAAGCCACGTTAGTAAGCACATTTGAGAAACTAGACAACCCTGCAGTGTTTACTTTACTTTAGTGATCCCGTTACCTTGTCTCCATCATCTCCTGGTGGTCCAGCTGGTCCTGCAGCACCTGGCAATCCCAAGGGTCCTACCTCCCCGTCGCGGCCGGCTGAGCCGAAGGGCCCCTTTTCCCCCTGAGCAGCAGACCGGAAAAAGCAATTTATCCTTTACAATTTACAAAATATATTTTCAACACGAACACAGCGATATACGTCTCTGCATTGAACTCGAACCCCTGACTACATTCATATCCTCGGTACTTTTCTGTTCTTATAATGAAGTATTCTGATGGGAGAGCACATGTTGTTTATCACCAAATTGTAGGAGGAGATGGTACTGTGTGCGTTGGCAGACACTTTGGTACATGATGTGAAATTAGCAATGTTCTTACAGGCTCGCCTTTTTCTCCCGCTGGCCCAGCAGGACCAACACCGCCCTGTCGTCCAGGCTGTCCAATCGCACCGACTGGCCCAGCGGGGCCTCTTTCTCCAGTTGCACCCTGGAAATGAGGAGAAAGCGAGATTAGGTGGCCAGTAAGTGCGACATAAATCTTGGAGATTTAATGTCAGATCCATGGAAACAGCTATTCCCCTCGCAAACTGTTTTATAATATATAAAAACAAACCGGAAGAGAGTTTGTTTACAAAACTCTATAACTTACAATTATTCCTGAGACACCAGGAAGACCCTCTCCTCCTTTCAGACCGGCAGGTCCCTGCATACATGGCAGTAAAAAAAAAAAAAACATTTACATTTACAGCACCTGGGTGAAATAAAAAAAAAGTTTCACTATGACAGAATCCCATCTGTCCAGGTTTGTGATTTGCTTGATATTCTCATAAAAGGGCTTTCCTGCCCTTATAAAATAAACATGGTTAATGTCGGCAAGTCTCTGTGAAAATATTCAACTACACTTCAGTAGAACACAAAAAAAGCACAAAAAAGCAACAATTAGCAGAAACAGTTTGAATAAATGTCAACTTAGAGGTCATGGAAAAAAAAATCACTCAATGTTCAAGATAAACATTTTGTTGGCTCCGAAATTGACATAGTTACAGTGCAACCACAAAGTGGTGGTTTCATAAGGTAGCGGTTATGTGAGTCCAGAGAAAGTCCTTGATTCAAGCCCCAAAGCAACGACATACTTAACAGCGCCCCCTGTGGCGGCTTGGGTGGGTTGCAAAGACTAACACTATTAAGCTACAATTTCCCCATTGTGAGATGAATAAGGGACTCAATTATTATTATTATTATTGTTATTACTATTAAAATCTAGTTGTCTGTTGGTCAAGAGTATAACAGTTAAAAAAAGTACAAACATTTGCTAAACTGGAAAACATTTAAACCTTAGATGCAAAAATTGCCAGTACAAAGATTTTATCCAAAATGTAAAAAATGAGTACAAAAAACAGTGGAGTACATAAAAGTCAGCCAAGTGCAAACAAAGCAAAAAAAAAAAGAAAAAAAAAAAAGCATAAATATAGTTACAAATGATGTATGCTTCGAGGATCAGCTAATACATCAATAACATTGATATAAAAAAAGGGTCAACCCAAGCAAAATAATAAATCTTTTAGTATTATACCGTAGGTAGCACTTGAATTGCTCCACGTTGTTTAAGATTTAACAGAGAAAAAAAAGTTAACTCAAAAGTTAGTGGAATGGTACTCCATAAATAGCTGATGTTTTTCCAACGGTAACGCAAATCCACTGACAGTTAGCTCAGATTCAGCCAAGCACATCATGAACTCCAAATATGATTATTAAAAAAAAAAAAAGGTTTACAAAATGGAAGCTAGGGTTATCTCCTAGTGTAGCATAGAGCTAAACAGCATTGCAAACGAGATAACGTTAGCGCAGTAGAAGCAGGTAGAGCAAGAAAATGAGCAAGCAACAAATTGGTAAAAGTTTCAAATTGCTTAATAAAGAGGAAAAGCTAGCCAAGGAAATTGGACACTTAGCAAAAATACAAATGTTCTCTAACGTACTGCTGTTAGACTCCCTTCAGTACAGACATTCCCTTCAGGTCTTAGAGGACATTACATTAAAGACTAAATATTTTCACAAGGTAAAGGTATAAGATGTATTACCGTTGCACCAGGGTTCCCTCTGCTCCCTCTGAAGCCTTGGTGTCCGGGGGGACCAGTTTTCCCTAGGGCACCTGGTGGACCTGGATCTCCCTTGAAATCGCACACACATGCACATTTTTGTGGTGAGATGAAAGGGAAGAACATTTATCTTCCATGAGTCGACATACACCCAACACCGCAGTGTGTCCTGTGTGTTGTTTATTAGCGAATTAGAGAGAAGGATGAGACAGAGGACGCGAGAAATACCGGCTGTGCTATGGTGGGAGGTGGGGGGAGAGGGGGAGAGGAGTGGAGGAGCTTTTACTAGACTACGCTGTGAAGTGATTATGAGACTGACATTATGACAAACACCACCCACCTTGGCGCCCTCCTTTCCAGCCGATCCTGGTAAACCGTGCTCACCGGGTGGTCCCGGTGAACCTGGATGGCCTCTGTCTCCAGTTGGCCCTGTCTCTCCAGATTTACCCTGAAATGTTCGATGAAGTCATGTGAAGCTTCAAAAAATACAAAAAATAAAAATGTATTAACCAATGGGCTAATTTTTCCTCCTACCTGAGGTCCAACGACACCTGGGGGGCTGATTCTTCTTCCTACCTGAGGTCCAACGACACCTGGGGGCCCGTGAGGACCATTTTTGCCCTGGAAACCCTGGAGAACATGACAAAGTGAGGCAGAGGTTAAAACCAGTTGGCAGTTTTTCCCGGAATATATGTATATTATATAACTTTTACTTCTACAAGAATGCTAAAAATTCTTTATAATAACCTTGTAGTTTAAATGACCTCATAATTGACTAAAATCTCAGCCTGTTTAGTTGAAGACAACGTTGATATACTGGCAGGAATTGAAGAAAGACACTCACAAAGATCCTAAAGAGCTCTGACAGTTTTTTTTTAGTTTTCATAGCCATCTACTGCCACCTAGTGAAGAATAATTAATTGTTCTGCCTGTCATGCATTGACGAACAAAAAAATAAATAAAAATTTGCAATAAATAAATTATAGTTTTCGGACCAATTAATTGAAATGTGATCATTTTTCACGGCACACGATGTGCCACGACACAGTGGTTGGGACTCACTGCTCTAGGTTACATGCTTTATACACATAAGAACGTGTGACTCACTGGTTCTCCTCTCTGGCCTGGATGACCCGGTAATCCATCTTTTCCAGGAGGACCCTGTAAAGAGGTTTGTTGTCTCACATATGAACATGTTTGAGGGGACGTTCAATGTACAATAAGTTGAAAGGAAATTGTGACACCGGTGGGCTACTGCTGGGCAGTACAACTTACAGATGGACCTCTAGGTCCTGGTTCGCCATGTCTTCCCTGTGGTCCTTGTGGACCCTGGAAAAAAAAAAGAAAAATAAATGTCATTTTTAGTATATGGTATCTATTTCTAGCCCCAGAAGAAATTGTGATTGTGAATACAAACATAATTAAATAAAGGTATAAAAATAATCCTGGTGATATCAAAAAAAGGGTCATTGATGTAAAATTCACCCAATGAAGGATTTTTTACCTATACAATACATTACATAAATTATATGTAACGTGCTAACAAAATCGTGGTCTAAAATATGCAGTCCCTCCATGTAAGATTTGTTTAATCAAAAATAACAAAATGGAAAAGGGTTTTATTTTATTATTCATTCCACTGTCAAATCTTTCCTGAATTTGGAAAGTCCTTTTCTCCTCCCGAAATGAGTGTCCTTTGTCCTTTAGATATGGATGGACAGCCGCGCACTCATATATTTTTTTTTTTTTAAAGCATAAGGATTTCTTTTTTTTTTTACCCTTCTTTTTTAAAGCGTAAGGATTTCTTTTTTTTTTTTTTTTTAAAGCATAAGGATTTCTTTTTTTTTTTTTTTTTTTTTTAAAGCATAAGGATTTCTTTTTTTTTTTTTTTAAACCATAAGGATTTCTTTTTTTTTTTTTTTTTTAAACCATAAGGATTTCTTTTTTTTTTTTTTTTTCCATCTCCTCTTTGAGGAGCGAGTGTAAACTGGAGCAGATGGGCCTGTCGTTGAGCAGCAAACATCAGCCACTTTCAACTCTGCTGCCGCATTGATTCATTATTAATGAAAGTGCCAGGTTTGTGTTTCCATGTTTATGTAAATATGTGTGTGCGTGTTCCAGTGGCTCCGCACACCTTCTCTCCAGGTTTTCCAGTGGGACCTCTTTGTCCTCTTCCTCCACGAGATCCCTATTGGAAAACACACAAATACTAATGAAGTGGACTGTTAACAAGAAGCTGCTTTTCTGACGAGTTTTCATTATACAAGTCTGATTGATTTTTTTTAAAAACTCTATAACCATTAAACTAGGTTTTCCTCCATCATGCATATCAGTGTTAGGTAGTTATTGTAAATCTGTTATTCCTGGGATTGTGTGTCAGTTTGTGGCATATTTGCTACGGCTGCAAATCTGATATCATTGTCCTGCTGTGTTTAGCAATGACAATAAAGGGCCATTTGATTTTATTGTGCAACAAAACATGCTGTGTGGAGAGGGGCACTCCACAAACAGACATCAAGCAAGAAATTGCTATTAAAATGTTTGAGCGTTTTCATGGGAATACATCCGTAAAAAGCTATTAGTAGCTGCAGAATAGGGCAAGTTTCCTGACTGGACGATGGGTAGAAACGCTTTACACAACTGGCTGCCCTTGCCTTGTTGCAACACAGACAAACTTATACCCTCATCTGTCCCCAATGCCAACCAAACAATACACAACACGGGGTTAATATTTGTAATGATTTTTTAAAGCACGGGCTTTACAATCATTCTACCGTCCATCTACTTATCATTGCTTTAATGCACAGACGATACATACGTTATTCACACACATTTCAGGAGCTTTGGATACCATCATGTGTTTGTGAAGGCTTCAACTTCCTGTCTCGTGTCAGATCAACGCCACCGCGCAATAACAAAGCAATAACCCTGCCCGCACAATGCTCCCCGGGGGCGCTCGGCTTGAGCTGCCCACTGCTCTCCAAGGTGATTGGTTATAGGCCAGAGGTCACATTTTGTTGTGCGCAGTGGTGTGCCGTGTCACCATTGACAAGTAATTCACTTTCTTTCACCGTCTTTAATATTTCTGAGGACAACGGCCTCACCTAAGTTCTGAAAGATAACTAAAATTCACAGACTAATAACATTTCCACAATGACTTTCGATTTAAAATTCGAATTAATTGACAGCTAAAACTAAACAACTGGACAACAATAAATTAGTGTCTGTAGACATTCATAAATCTTCTGCTTCATTCCATTCAGAGTCATCCAAAATCATTGAGTGAAGGTAGGGTACATCTAACCCTACTGCTACCTAGCCTGGATTTGAACCCACCGACAACACTACTTGCAATACATAATGTCCTGCCCTGCACTGCAGTAAGACACTGCACTACCCACAGGTCTACAGCCAACACATCCTGGATAATTTCTCATCCTCACAAGACCAAATACAACCAGTGATAAAGAGTAATTCACATGTGCATTAAAAGCTGTGGATGGTGTCCACTTAACCTTTATCACCCTAACCTTCCCAACAGCCAATACTTACACACTAAAACTCAACACCAATCACCATGCACTACACTAAGTGGCCTCTAATATGATATAATGTCTAATTATCTAGTCCTACCTCATCTAATAGATTTTGTTTTTCTCACAGCCTGCTTTTCTGCCACACACCATTAAGTACATTTAGGTACTAACCCAGGATAATTTGTTTTTTGTCCAAG